AGAGATTTTGCTTGTGTACGATCTATCCACGCCACGATGGATAAATATTAATTAGCCGTTAGGCATAACTATGGATTCAACCCACGAAAGAAACATACAACCAGGCCAGGCTGGACAACAGACCTCAAGCCAGAGCGGAGTTTGAGTGAGGCCAAGATATTCCTAGGACTTACGTGGCAGACTATCATTCCAACATAGCTATCTAGCAATGTCAAAGACATTACAAGAGTCATATTCGAATTAATATGCAATTAATAGCATTTATTGTATCAGTTTCATTCTAGAATACTAGTTCATGTAGCTTATAAATACTCTTATAAAGGGAGCCTTCCCACATGAATAATACTATTACTACTTTCTTACGATCAATGAATATTTGATTAATTAAGCTCTTTTCGCTGGAATTATGACTATGTTTGGCAGACATAAGTCTCTACCTTCTAGATTTTGTATTGTTCAAAAAGTCTCTAAAAGCTTCTAGTTATATGTTTGGCATGACAATTTTAAGAGCTTTTAAAAAATTAAAAGATCTTTTTTGAGATGCTACAAGGAGTAGCATCTAAAAAAAGCCCGTGACTTTTAGTATTAATTAGTCCTAACAGCTTGTATACCAAACCGAACTAAATCAAATAGTCACCTTTTTACCAAACAGCTACCACCTTTTCTCTTTTAGATCTTTTCAGTCACTAAATGCTAACAGTTATTAAAAAGCTTACAAAAATATCTTTTCAGCTAGTTGTGCCAAACATACCCTATATTCCATTATTTGGTGCTTTCATTGAGAGCTTGATCAAAATCAAGTGAGATCCTCCCAAAATATACCAAATTCATCCAAAATAGTCGACAATTGCATAGATTCAGCCAAAAAGCTTACTATATACAAACTGGAGTGGAAAAGCAGCCCAATTTCCCGCCCAAAGATGCGGGTCGAAAAAGGGTCGGGTCATGCGAAGGGTTTTGTGTAATTATTGAGCAGAGTCATTAAATGCATGTTTGATGTGTCTGACGAATTGCGGTGCACCGTATGTGGTGGGATGTATTATTTGCATTCTACGGAGTATTTCACATTCTAATAGGAGTCTCGCTTCGTGTACACGCCGGTTAAATTGTCTGTATACTGACAATTTGATCGGCTAGACAGACAATTTGACCGGCGTTTTATGAAGAAAATCGATTTCCATACAGACAAAATATCAAGAGTTGTCTGTATCACAGACATTTTAAACCTGAATTTTTCATAAAGTGTCTGTGATACAGATATTTTTTTATTTTTGTCTGTGTGAAAATCGGTTTTCTTCGTAAATCGTCGCTCAATATGTCTGTGTAATCGATCAAATTGTCTGTGCACAGACAATTTGACAGACGTGTAACTCGGCGTGTAAAACTTGGCGGGTACAAAAGGAATTTTCCTTCTAATACGCCAAATAAACATCTCATATAATTTATTCTTGGATATTGGGACGAATCACTGTTAAGCATTAATGTTGAGTAGTCAATTAAGTTATTGTCCCAGACCAGTCTTAACAACTGTAAATTTGTCAAATGCATTTGTACTGATCCAAATTGTTTTCTATTATTTCTCGGTTAATACGATGTTAGGATATATTGAATCAGGCAACCAATGAAACAATGCGTAATTCCAGCTATAAAAGCAGACCATTCTGAGACTCACCGGACCTGGGTGGAGGTTCCGACACCTTCCTCCCCTCACATTATCGCCGCCCAAATCGTGTTGGTTCCACCCGTGATCAATTGCGACCACATCTCCGACAAACACTAACAAGAACGGCGGTAGAGAGCCTAATTCATAGATCCTGATCGTCTTCTGGATCTCCATCCACCTCTCTATATGCTTCGTGTACCCTATCCGCCTCCATTTCGCCAGATGTATGACCATAACGCCGGTGTGGAAGTAGCAAAGGTCACGTCCGGTGAACGTATCGTACAATTTCCGGTCAGACCAGAAATTGGAGGTGAAGTACTTGGTGAAATTGGCATAGCAATACTCTGGAGCTTGATAGTCTTCTCCCCCAAATTTGTACTCCATAACTTTGAGATGTCGTGAACGACAACCAAATTGGAATCTACGTAGAGGACTCTGCGCACACATGGCTCGAGCATGTCCGCCAAGTAATTCAGGGCATAGTTGAGAGGAATTTCCAACGTTTGTCGGACGGAAGTGGAGATGAGACTCTGGACTCTCTCCGGGTAGAAGTAATACACCTTGAACTTCAACTGAGGAAAAGTGGATCTCACGAGGCTCTCTAGATTGGTCTCCGAGCCCATAAAATGGAAGAACATGCTCTCCGGGCACCTTGAATGTTGTAGAATCGAATGCACCGCCGCGATTGAACCTCTGAGATACTCCGTCTCCAGAGTAATGGCGACGTGAACTAGAGACGGATCGCAAACATATTTTCACCCAAACACGGATTTGCATCCACCGGCATTACGAAATAGTGGCGCTCTCCGGAAAGAGAATCGGTCAAGAGCAAAGCCGCTGTCAATCTGTCCTTGAAATCGAGATTAGATGACCTAATGGTTCATAACAAATGCGTAAGGTATAATTAACTATTTAACTTTTATTGGACCCTTTGAAAACCACTACATTGAATAAATTACACCATTCTAAATACAGAGTGATAATGAAAATGTATTTGTACTACACAATGTCTCTACTTAGACTTATGTATGACAATTTAGTACTGTCAAATCTAATTTGCTTGAGATTGGATTATGCTAATGTCATCAATGCTTCACAAATCCATCAATATCCTTCCGTATGACAAACATATACTACGTAATTCCTTTTCCCGTCTATCACTCTATGTAAATGGAATTTTGTTCAACCGTGATATTTGCCCCTCCCTATTAGGGCTTCATGTGTAAGTCAATTCATTATATTTTTTCAATTGTTATAACCTTTTATTTATGATCCAATGTTTTTGAAAAATATACTCCCTCCGGATCTTTTTAAACTTCACAGTTTGATTTCACATTGATTAAGAAAATAAATTTGACTTTACTGTAGAGACATTGTTCAGCACTGTTTAACAACGTTTTGATGTAGATTTCTTTGTCAAATAAGGAAATAAGGAAGTGTGGAGTTTATTTTGGACCGTCCCAAAAAAGAAAGTGAGAAGTTTAAAAAGATCTGGAGGGAGTATCATATTTTTATTTTTTATGATCTTTATACGATACCTATATTGCTTATTTAAAATTAAAAAAATGCCTAAAAATAGATATTTAGAAAATATAGATTTTCTTCTTTCAAATTTTTTATATGTAATATTAGTACTGATGGAGTATATGGCCCAGGAACCCCCGGCCCATAGACTCCCACTACTATAGCGAAGGCCCAATAGGCCCGTGAAGCACAACATGCCCAAATCACAGCGCCCCAAGTGCCAAACAGTCCACGACGAACACTGTCCGAAGGCTCATAAACTTACGGTACAACTGCTTTTAAGCACTCAAAGTGTCTGGGAGAAAGCGGCGAAAACGGTAGCCCTCGGCACCTAGAGCCCTCGGCACCTAGAGCCCTCGGAACCTAGAGGCCCCCGGGATGAAGAGCCTTCGGGAGTCATGAACGGCCGAAGGCATCTCATCGACAGAATCTCCCACCCACATGCGCTAGATCAACGTACCGAGTACAAACGTCACATCTAACCACCGCATTTAATGCGGCCACATGCGAGTGTCAGTGCCACCCCGTTGAGGTGACCCCTCGATCACCAGAATGATGACACGTGTCCCTATCTAGCATTTATTGCTGCTATAAATAGCACCCCTTTGCCCATTTGTAAACCACGCTGAATACGCCCATTATCAATATACACTCTCTATTTTTGTTCTGACTTCTCTCTAGTTACTCCCCGCAGTAACCCCTCGGATAGATACCCCCCCGGGTACACTTATCCATCATTTGGTGCTCTCGTTGAGAGGTCGGATAAATCAAGTAAGAAACCCTCCCCTTCAGCTCAACACACCTACCAGAATGGGAAGAAACACTCGTGCCCAATCCAAGACTCATGAGGACAGGAACCTGGCCCTCGGCGAAGTCGACGTCCCCGAAGCCTCTATCAGGGCTCCCGAGGGCGGCGTCATCGCCGAGGTGGACCAGACGGCTGTCGACCTACGCCTTCAGCTCCAACAAAATGCCCCCGATGCCCGCCTTGGCATCGAGGCCAGGAAGAAGGACCGGAGCGAAAACCAAGTGAGCCCTCCGGTCCTTACTATTGACGTGCAATCGGCGTTCTCCGCCTTCATCCAGACACTCACTCAGAACCCGGGTGCCTTCGGCACTCTGGTGCCTCTTCAACCACAGGTTGGGGAGAACGTGTGACACCTCCAAAAACAAAAAAACAAACAAACAAACAAAAATTTAAATAAAATAAATAAGTAAACTTTACTAGTCAGATAAAACGTTACGAAAGAGGAATTTTAATAAGTAAGAAAATCAGGTTAAATTTTAACATCGGTGACATTTTTAACCAGATAAAAGTGTTTTAATAATAAAAGTGACAATTTATAATAAACATGTTGAGCAGATAGGACTTTGACTTAAATAACAAAAGTGACATTTTTGTAACCAATAATAATTATGATAAAGTAACAATTACCCATTTTTGTTTTGAAGCATCGGTTAATAATATGTATACGAACATTACGAAGTATACTATAGCAATACATATAACGAACCTGTTCATTAATAATACGTAGTATAGATGCATATTATTCATATACCTAATCACAATAATGATACATGAATAATATGATAAAGGAACCTGTTATTCACATGCATATACAACCCACATGCGTATACAAACAAGGGGACACCCCACACAAGGAGACCCACTCCAAACACATACACATGTGCAAGCTTTAACAAAAGAAAAGGTTCATGAATAATTGAGAAATAATAATACTACGTAGAAGATATTTTATAGCAATTCAGGAACTCCGGACATAGACACCTACAATCAGGAACAAGTAACAAAGTCATCACACCTTTCATCACGTATATATACCATACTCCGTAATCCTCATATATATCATATATACTTACCCCTTCATTTCCACGAAACCAAAAGAGGAGGTCAATCCTTCATCAATCTCCTCGCCATAGATACGCTAGAAAAGATACAGAGAAAAGAGAGAAAACCATGAGAAAGATAGAGTAGCTCGCCAGGGCGCCTTAATTAACCTCGCTGCCGGAGTAGAAGAGTCTGCAGGGGTGACTACGGATCTGCGGGTCTACCCTACACTACATCAACATAAGAACTAAGGTCTCCTGGAGCGTGAGAAACCGCCGCCGCTGGATGCAACGGGACGCCGGAATAAAGGGAGGACCCACCGAAGAAGAAACCCAGATGTTCGCCGGACTGCAACGGGACTGCCGCCGATCGTCAGGACCGCCGCCGCCTGTCTTTGAAGCCGCTGCCGGGGTCGCCAGTTAAAGAAGCTTTCAGCCCGTCACCACTCCGACTTCAAGTCACTGCAGAGGAAGCGTACGTTCACTTATTTTACCATCCTTGGGCTGGATTAGTTCTTCTTACGTACTACTTCGTATTAATTAGACCAGACTTTCAGTATTGAACCGTGAAATCCTTTTAATAAGCTGAATTTTTAGACTAGTCCGGCTACACAAAAATAAACTGAACTGATGATTAAATTGAATAAAATGATACCACCGAATAATTATAAATGACTTAAATTAAAGTGGATTAATTAAATTAGTTTGATTAAATTAATAATTAATATGCTTGATTATTATTGATTCGAATTTAATATAAGTTGCTAAACTATTTGAACTTATAAAAATTAGTTGATTAATATAAATAAATAATGGGTATTTAATAATTGAGTTAATTGACTTTATTGGACTAGTTTTACTAAATCAATTAGTTTAATGGATAAATTAGTTAAATTATGGACTTAGTAATATTGTGGACTTTATAGTAAAAATAGAAAATTAAAACGAAATTAAAATTTGGTTATTGGCCTTAATTGAATTGGATTGACGTATTTAGCTATATTGATATAATTAAACTTATTTAGTTGATGAAGTTAGTTCAATTAAATTAGTCAATCAAATAAATAAATCTGGAGAGTTCGATTAGTTAAATTAGGTTAGTATAAATAAACTATTGAGCTAATTAAAGTTGTTATTGAGATGAGATTATCATTAATAATTATTACTTCGAATTATTGCTTACTCTAAAGTATTATTAAAAGATTTATTAAATAAACTATATAAGTTATTTAAAATGAATTTCGGACTGAAATTGATTATTTAATTCGAAATAATAAAATTATTATGTAATTAATTTAATTAGACTAGTTAACTAATCAACCAAATAAATTAAAGTAAATTATGGAGGGGGTTAGTATGGTCAAAGAAAATAATAAGGTTGGACTGAAAATTAACATTTTAAATAAGGTTTATGAATCTAACCTAATAGTTATATTTAAAGAAGGAATTATAAAATTAAAATAACAAAAATAATAGAATAGTTATTGATTTAAAATTTTGATATATATTAGAAGGAGAATTCAAGTGAAGACCAAGTTAGAGATTTTATTAAGAGGATTAGGAGCATCAGGACTTAAGGTAAGTTTCTCTGCCAATCCAAAATTGTTTCCTCATATTGTATGCTTATTATGCATTATGTGATTAAGTGTGAATTGTGAATTTTGTGTATGTGATTTTGAGAAGATATTATATATATGGTAGTTGAGAATGTTAAATTAAGTACTTTTGGGGTATTAAATATTTTTAAATACCTTCGAGATTTTTGGAGAAATTGAGAAGTATTTTTTTGAAGTATTATTTAATTGAAAATAAAATTTACATTTTCATAAGAAGTGAGCATCTCGGGAGTAATCCGAGATGTCGGTTTTCCACATCCGGATAAATGTGGAGGGTGATTAGGGCTGCTACTACTAAGAAGTACAATTTGAGTCTGAAGTGACATTTGGATCTATGATCCCTTTTAAGAAGAAGTTATAGTAGTAGTCCCTAATCATTCAAGAATTTTTAAAGGTGGGGTGGTTGGGTTCTGACCACTCGGGATGACTTACTACTCAGAGGGCTTGGAATCCCTTTAAGGGGGTGTGCACACTTAAGGTAGTCGTTTCGTTTCCATTAACAGTTGTGGTACCGGCAAAAGTCCCGGGGTGGCCGTACATAATAACGTAACCACCGGGCTCAACCAGAGTGTTGAGCACCGCCCTTCTAAATTACTAGGAAGTTAGAAAGATTGGGATTTTGAAAATCCCAAGAGAAGAAGAGTTTACAATTTAAGAAGTGACTTTTGAGGTGATACTCAGAAAAGAAGAATTTATTAATAAAGAAGTAATTTTTTTTTGAAGTGAATAAAAGAGAAAAGGGTTTCGGTGGAGTGAGTTATTTTTATATAATATTATATAAAAATCTATTTTAGTCAAACGTGATTATTTTACGGGGTTGGGTAGTACTTACTTAGCTCTAAAGCTAATTTTTGTTTCCTTTTTCTTGTTTTGTTTTCTGCACTTTATTTGTGCAGGTGATGATGGCTATGTTGATTGTTGATTGCATGCGTCTGAGAGCGGTTGCTAGATGCCTTAGTAAAATCTAGACATGAATGAACATTTTAGTTACGTTGAACATTTGTTTCTTCATATTACAATTAATTATGACTATTTTGTTTTAGTTGCCTGTGCATCCGGTTAAGAGATGACTGGATGTGGCGGTAATACCCATTTCCCTATTTAAATTATTTCCGCTGCAAGTTTTTTTTATCAATTTCGAATGAATAAAGAAAGTTTATTATCAATAAATTATTATTTCAAGTATTATTTTTGGGCGGGAAATTCGGGGTGTTACAAATTGGTATCAGAGACTTTAGTTTTTCGAAGGGATTAGGACACGAGGTAATAGGTCGTAGGGAGAAATTCTGTCACAAAGACGACAACAGTCTAAGCTGGTTGGTGCATAATTGAGCCTTTGCGCTCGTCCAACTAACTGGGAATTTCTCCTTGTGCTGAAACTTCGTTGTTCAAAATCTTTGACGAAAACTATGGTCTCGAAGCGGGGATTTTCAAAATGTTTTCTTAAAAAAAAAACTAGGAGAATGAACATACTAGGAAATTGGCCTTTCTAGGAACGCGATGAGAGGAGGAAATTTGCGATACTATTGAATTATGAAATGCCTGAGATTCATGCCTCTGTGAAGTATGTGGAATATGTGATACACTGTATGTGCAATCTGTTATAAGAATCTGAAGTTAGTAAAGAATTTGTATGATGTAGAAGTCTTATGTATGCCTTAGTACTTAGTATTGGTTTTCTTTATTAAGAATCATGCCGCCAAGAAGAAACCCCGTTACGACCCCAGCCGTTGAGGAGTTGGCCCAAACTATTCAACAAATGGCACGGCATATCGGAGCGGCTCAAACCCAGAACAATGGGATTGACTACCCTACAAGGGTAGCCGGGCGTAACCCCCCGAAATATCTGGGCGAGGAGGACCATCTTATCCTGGAGGACTGGGTTCGTACCTTTGACAAACTCTTTGACTCCCTCAACTGCCCGTGGGAGCAACGAGTAAATATTGCGGTGTATTACCTACACCAAGAAGCTGACCACTGGTGGGCCGCCAATGGACCAACACTTCTCGAGCAACTGGACTTTTGCTGGGAGGACTTCAAAGTAGCACTACGTGACCGTTTCTACCCCGATCACGTGAAAGAGGCAAATTACGACGAATTCGTCAATTTCAAGCAAGGTGACCTGACTGTTCAAGAGTACCACACGAAGTTCGTCCAATTGGCTCGTTTCGCCAAAGACCTGGTGTCAACCGAGGGCAGTATGACACGCAGATTTGTTAACGGGCTTAACTACGGTGCCCAAAAGTTTGTGACTGTAGCAGAGCCACGAAATCTGAACGAAGCATATAGGAAGGCTGGTAAGTACTACATGGTACACCAGAAGGAGAGGGAGGCACATAAGAGGGATCGAAAGAACGCTGAGGTGGAGCAGCAGCACAAGAAGGCCAGAACTGACCACCCTGAACCCCGACAAAACAATCAAGGCGGGAGAATATTCCAAGGCCAGGGTCAGGGGAGAAACCAGCCTAACCAGACACGGTATTACAAGTGCAAACTCTGCCCGAACAACCACCCTGGAGCAGATTGTGCAGGTAATCCGGTGAAGTGCTACAACTGCAACCTCATGGGGCATAGGGCATATGAGTGCCGGAAGGAGAAGAGGCCCCAAACCCAGGGCCAAAACCAAGGGATGTACAATCAGGGGAATGGCCAAGCCGGGGGTGGGGGTAATCACGTTAACAGTAACCGTGGTAACCCCGACACCCGTCCAACGGAAGGCAACCGTAACCAGGGCCAGCAAGGGCAGAACAATAACCAAGGCCGAATCTATGTCATGAACCAAGCTCAGGCAAATGCCAACGACGTGGTGTCAGGTACATTCCTTGTAAATTCCACACCTGTTCATGTACTATTTGATTCGGGTGCATCTCACAGTTTTATATCCTCAAAACTTGTGGAAAAGTTAAAGTTAGAACCTACCGCTACACTCAATCTTAATGTAAAAACAACATCTAATAAAGTTGTAGCTTGCGGGAGTGTTTTCTCCAATGTTTCTATAGTCATATCTGATACCGAACTACCCGGAGATCTAATCCAATTTGACTTGGAGGATATTGACGTGGTGTTGGGAATGGACTGGCTAGGAAAATATAAGGCGAGGATTCTTTGTGATGAACAAAAGGTGGTCTTGAGAGGACCCCACAAGAAGCGTGTATCCTACAAAATGGTTACATCTCAGCCGGGCGTGAAGCTGACAACCATGCAACAAGTCAAACGATACGTCCGGAAGGGGTATGAAGTTTACTTATGCATGATCCAAGACTTAACATCGGAAGAGCCGACCATTGACCAAATCCCTGTGGTCAATGAATTTCCGGATGTATTTCCGGAAGAAATTCCAGGGATGCCGCCGGAGAGGGAAGTCGAGTTTTCAATTGATCTGATGCCAGGCACCGCACCCATTTCGAAGGCACCATACCGAATGGCACCAAAAGAAATGCAGGAACTGAAGGAACAACTCGAAGAACTGTTGGAGAAGGGCTACATCAAACCGAGTGTCTCACCTTGGGGCGCTCCGGTCTTGTTTGTAAAGAAGAAGGATGGAAGCTTGAGACTGTGCATCGATTATAGGGAGTTGAACAAAGCAACCGTCAAAAACAAATATATGTTGCCTCGAATTGATGACCTCTTTGATCAACTGAAGGGGGCTAGCACGTTCTCCAAAGTTGATCTGAGATCCGGGTACCATCAAGTGAGGATTGCTGAGAAAGACACTTCGAAGACAGCTTTTCGAACGAGGTACGGGCACTACGAGTTCACCGTGATGCCGTTCGGACTAACAAATGCGCCTGCGGTATTTATGGACCTCATGAACCGTGTGTTCCGACCCTACCTCGACTTGTTTACTATTGTATTCATCGACGACATCCTGGTGTACTCTAAGACACCAAAAGAGCACGAAGAACATTTGAGGATAGCACTGCAAACTTTGAGAGAGAATCAGCTATATGCCAAACTCTCAAAGTGTGAATTCTGGAAGGATCGGGTAGCATTCTTGGGCCACATCATCACCCAAGAAGGTGTATCCGTTGATCCATCAAAGATCGAAGCAGTGTTAGACTGGCCTACACCCACAACCGTGACGGAGGTCCGGAGCTTTCTAGGCTTGGCAGGCTATTATCGCAGATTCGTGAAGGATTTCTCAAAGATAGCAAAACCTTTGACTAACCTCACGAAGAAGACCACGAAATTCATATGGGGTGAGGAATGCAAGAAGGCTTTCCAGGAGCTTAAGAAAAAATTAACAACCGCACCTATTTTAACCCTACCATCCGGTACTGAGGGGTTCGAGGTTTACACCGATGCTTGTTTGAAAGGGTTGGGTTGCGTATTGATGCAAAACGGTAAAGTGGTGGCCTATGCATCAAGACAACTGAAGACCCACGAGGTCAACTACCCGACTCATGACTTAGAACTGGCAGCGGTTATCTTCGCCTTAAAGCTATGGAGGCACTATCTATATGGGGTACAATGTAAAATTTACACCGATCACAAGAGCCTAAAGTACATCTTCACCCAAAATGAGCTTAACATGAGACAAAGACGTTGGCTAGAACTCGTCAAAGACTATGACTTGGAAATTCAGTACCATGAAGGGAAAGCAAACGTAGTTGCCGATGCGTTGAGCCGAAAATCAACCCACTCCTGCAGAGCAACATGGATCCTCCCTAACGAGCTATATCGAGACTTTCAGAAGCTAGACTTGGAAGTGCGGGATGTCGGAGAGGTAGATCGGGAAACGCGGTTACTCACCATGACCGTTACCCCATCTATTTTCGATGAAATTAGAGCAGGGCAGCCTGGAGATATAAAGCTAGACAGAATCCGAGCAGGTATGACGAATGGCGTAAACGGACCATTTGAACTGCACAAAGATGGTAGCATTCGACACAAAGGAAGGTGGTGTGTCCCGATGAAATGTGAAGAGATTAAGAAGAAAATCATGGAGGAGGGGCACAACACGCCTTACTCGGTACACCCTGGGGGCGACAAACTCTACAAAGACCTCAAACAGAACTTTTGGTGGCCAAAGATGAAGAAAGAGGTAGCTGAATTCGTTGCTCGATGCTTGAACTGCCAGAAGGTGAAAGCCGAACGCTGCAAGCCCAAGGGACTCGTACAACCTTTGGAGGTGCCAAATAAGAAATGGGATTCTATCTCCATGGACTTTGTTGGGGGCTTACCCCTAACCAAGTCTGGCAAAGACAAGGTTTGGGTTATAGTAGATCGATTAACAAAGACCGCTCGCTTTATCCCGATGAACGAGACATGGAGCATGGAGAAGTTAGCTCGCGCTTACATCGAGTACGTAGTCAAATACCATGGAGTTCCACAAGACATTGTTTCTGACCGTGACTCTAGATTCCTATCTCAATTTTGGAAGGAATTGCAAGCTGCTCTGAGGACGAAACTAAAGCTGAGTACAGCCTTTCACCCAACCACTGATGGACAAACTGAGCGAACAATCCAAACACTCGAGGACATGCTGAGAGCATGTATGCTAGACCTACAAGGGTCATGGGATGAGCACTTAGACTTAATAGAGTTTTCGTATAACAATAGCTACCACGCCAGTATCAAGATGGCCCCGTACGAAGCTTTATATGGTCAAAAATGTAGAAGTCCGCTATGCTGGAGCGACTTGACAGACAAGGTGGTGCTAGGACCCGAGTACCTACATGACACCATAGAAAAGGTGAAGCTGATCCAAGCCAGGATGAAATCTGCACAAGATCGTCAGAAGTCTTATGCAGACCTGGGGAGAAAGTCAGCCGAATTCAAAGTGGGAGAAAAAGTCCTACTCAAAGTCTCCCCAACGAAGGGAGTAATGAGATTCGGAAAGAAGGGAAAGCTAAGCCCGAGATTCATCGGTCCGTATGATATCCTCGAGCGAGTGGGACGATTAGCATACCGTTTAGCTTTACCCATGGAGTTGGCTAAGGTAAGACACCCCTTAAAACCTCTCGATGGTAAATATAATAGTAAGTGCCTCTCAAATACTAACATATGATGTACCTAGGTACACAACGTTTTCCATATTTCACAATTGAGGAAGTATGTCCGCGACGAATCACATATCCTTAACCCTGAGGTACAAATAAAAACCTTACGATTTTCAAAATCAGATTCAACATGTCTAACATCGACTCAATTAGGTGGTCGAATTGGACGAAACATTGACTTATGAGGAAAGGCCCATCCAGATCCTTGATACCAAAACTCGTGAAACTAGGAGAAAGTCGGTTAAAATGGTAAAGGTATTGTGGTCTAACCACTTGGCCGAAAACGCCACTTGGGAGTCCGACAACGATATGCGCAACCGCTATCCTGAGCTATTTGACTAAGGTAATGTTTTGATTAGAGTGACGTAACTTTTTTTTTTTTTTTTTTTTGGGTAGAATGTAATACCTCTTAAATTATAAGATATTTTATTAACTTATGCTTCGGGACGAAGCATCTTCTAAGTGGGGTAGAATGTGACACTCCTTAAAAAAAAATAGTAATATTAACTAAGTTGTGGTATTCACTTGTGGATAAAATTTTCTTTCATTTATGTTTCGGGACGAAACATCTTTTAAGGAGGGTAGAATGTGACACCTCCAAAAACAAAAAAACAAACAAACAAACAAAAATTTAAATAAAATAAATAAGTAAACTTTACTAGTCAGATAAAACGTTACGAAAGAGGAATTTTAATAAGTAAGAAAATCAGGTTAAATTTTAACATCGGTGACATTTTTAACCAGATAAAAGTGTTTTAATAATAAAAGTGACAATTTATAATAAACATGTTGAGCAGATAGGACTTTGACTTAAATAACAAAAGTGACATTTTTGTAACCAATAATAATTATGATAAAGTAACAATTACCCATTTTTGTTTTGAAGCATCGGTTAATAATATGTATACGAACATTACGAAGTATACTATAGCAATGCATATAACGAACCTGTTCATTAATAATACGTAGTATAGATGCATATTATTCATATACCTAATCACAATAATGATACATGAATAATATGATAAAGGAACCTGTTATTCACATGCATATACAACCCACATGCGTATACAAACAAGGGGACACCCCACACAAGGAGACCCACTCCAAACACATACACATGTGCAAGCTTTAACAAAAGAAAAGGTTCATGAATAATTGAGAAATAATAATACTACGTAGAAGATATTTTATAGCAATTCAGGAACTCCGGACATAGACACCTACAATCAGGAACAAGTAACAAAGTCACCACACCTTTCATCACGTATATATACCATACTCCGTAATCCTCATATATATCATATATACTTACCCCTTCATTTCCACGAAACCAAAAGAGGAGGTCAATCCTTCATCAATCTCCTCGCCATAGATACGCTAGAAAAGATACAGAGAAAAGAGAGAAAACCATGAGAAAGATAGAGTAGCTCGCCAGGGCGCCTTAATTAACCTCGCTGCCGGAGTAGAAGAGTCTGCAGGGGTGACTACGGATCTGCGGGTCTACCCTACACTACATCAACATAAGAACTAAGGTCTCCTGGAGCGTGAGAAACCGCCGCCGCTGGATGCAACGGGACGCCGGAATAAAGGGAGGACCCACCGAAGAAGAAACCCAGATGTTCGCCGGACTGCAACGGGACTGCCGCCGATCGTCAGGACCGCCGCCGCCTGTCTTTGAAGCCGCTGCCGGGGTCGCCAGTTAAAGAAGCTTTCAGCCCGTCACCACTCCGACTTCAAGTCACTGCAGAGGAAGCGTACGTTCACTTATTTTACCATCCTTGGGCTGGATTAGTTCTTCTTACGTACTACTTCGTATTAATTAGACCAGACTTTCAGTATTGAACCGTGAAATCCTTTTAATAAGCTGAATTTTTAGACTAGTCCGGCTACACAAAAATAAACTGAACTGATGATTAAATTGAATAAAATGATACCACCGAATAATTATAAATGACTTAAATTAAAGTGGATTAATTAAATTAGTTTGATTAAATTAATAATTAATATGCTTGATTATTATTGATTCGAATTTAATATAAGTTGCTAAACTATTTGAACTTATAAAAATTAGTTGATTAATATAAATAAATAATGGGTATTTAATAATTGAGTTAATTGACTTTATTGGACTAGTTTTACTAAATCAATTAGTTTAATGGATAAATTAGTTAAATTATGGACTTAGTAATATTGTGGACTTTATAGTAAAAATAGAAAATTAAAACGAAATTAAAATTTGGTTATTGGCCTTAATTGAATTGGATTGACGTATTTAGCTATATTGATATAATTAAACTTATTTAGTTGATGAAGTTAGTTCAATTAAATTAGTCAATCAAATAAATAAATCTGGAGAGTTCGATTAGTTAAATTAGGTTAGTATAAATAAACTATTGAGCTAATTAAAGTTGTTATTGAGATGAGATTATCATTAATAATTATTACTTCGAATTATTGCTTACTCTAAAGTATTATTAAAAGATTTATTAAATAAACTATATAAGTTATTTAAAATGAATTTCGGACTGAAATTGATTATTTAATTCGAAATAATAAAATTATTATGTAATTAATTTAATTAGACTAGTTAACTAATCAACCAAATAAATTAAAGTAAATTATGGAGGGGGTTAGTATGGTCAAAGAAAATAATAAGGTTGGACTGAAAATTAACATTTTAAATAAGGTTTATGAATCTAACCTAATAGTTATATTTAAAGAAGGAATTATAAAATTAAAATAACAAAAATAATAGAATAGTTATTGATTTAAAATTTTGATATATATTAGAAGGAGAATTCAAGTGAAGACCAAGTTAGAGATTTTATTAAGAGGATTAGGAGCATCAGGACTTAAGGTAAGTTTCTCTGCCAATCCAAAATTGTTTCCTCATATTGTATGCTTATTATGCATTATGTGATTAAGTGTGAATTGTGAATTTTGTGTATGTGATTTTGAGAAGATATTATATATATGGTAGTTGAGAATGTTAAATTAAGTACTTTTGGGGTATTAAATATTTTTAAATACCTTCGAGATTTTTGGAGAAATTGAGAAGTATTTTTTTGAAGTATTATTTAATTGAAAATAAAATTTACATTTTCATAAGAAGTGAGCATCTCGGGAGTAATCCGAGATGTCGGTTTTCCACATCCGGATAAATGTGGAGGGTGATTAGGGCTGCTACTACTAAGAAGTACAATTTGAGTCTGAAGTGACATTTGGATCTATGATCCCTTTTAAGAAGAAGTTATAGTAGTAGTCCCTAATCATTCAAGAATTTTTAAAGGTGGGGTGGTTGGGTTCTGACCACTCGGGATGACTTACTACTCAGAGGGCTTGGAATCCCTTTAAGGGGGTGTGCACACTTAAGGTAGTCGTTTCGTTTCCATTAACAGTTGTGGTACCGGCAAAAGTCCCGGGGTGGCCGTACATAATAACGTAACCACCGGGCTCAACCAGAGTGTTGAGCACCGCCCTTCTAAATTACTAGGAAGTTAGAAAGATTGGGATTTTGAAAATCCCAAGAGAAGAAGAGTTTACAATTTAAGAAGTGACTTTTGAGGTGATACTCAGAAAAGAAGAATTTATTAATAAAGAAGTAATTTTTTTTTGAAGTGAATAAAAGAGAAAAGGGTTTCGGTGGAGTGAGTTATTTTTATATAATATTATATAAAAATCTATTTTAGTCAAACGTGATTATTTTACGGGGTTGGGTAGTACTTACTTAGCTCTAAAGCTAATTTTTGTTTCCTTTTTCTTGTTTTGTTTTCTGCACTTTATTTGTGCAGGTGATGATGGCTATGTTGATTGTTGATTGCATGCGTCTGAGAGCGGTTGCTAGATGCCTTAGTAAAATCTAGACATGAATGAACATTTTAGTTACGTTGAACATTTGTTTCTTCATATTACAATTAATTATGACTATTTTGTTTTAGTTGCCTGTGCATCCGGTTAAGAGATGACTGGATGTGGCGGTAATACCCATTTCCCTATTTAAATTATTTCCGCTGCAAGTTTTTTTTATCAATTTCGAATGAATAAAGAAAGTTTATTATCAATAAATTATTATTTCAAGTATTATTTTTGGGCGGGAAATTCGGGGTGTTACAAATTGGTATCAGAGACTTTAGTTTTTCGAAGGGATTAGGACACGAGGTAATAGGTCGTAGGGAGAAATTCTGTCACAAAGACGACAACAGTCTAAGCTGGTTGGTGCATAATTGAGCCTTTGCGCTCGTCCAACTAACTGGGAATTTCTCCTTGTGCTGAAACTTCGTTGTTCAAAATCTTTGACGAAAACTATGGTCTCGAAGCGGGGATTTTCAAAATGTTTTCTTAAAAAAAAAACTAGGAGAATGAACATACTAGGAAATTGGCCTTTCTAGGAACGCGATGAGAGGAGGAAATTTGCGATACTATTGAATTATGAAATGCCTGAGATTCATGCCTCTGTGAAGTATGTGGAATATGTGATACACTGTATGTGCAATCTGTTATAAGAATCTGAAGTTAGTAAAGAATTTGTATGATGTAGAAGTCTTATGTATGCCTTAGTACTTAGTATTGGTTTTCTTTATTAAGAATCATGCCGCCAAGAAGAAACCCCGTTACGACCCCAGCCGTTGAGGAGTTGGCCCAAACTATTCAACAAATGGCACGGCATATCGGAGCGGCTCAAACCCAGAACAATGGGATTGACTACCCTACAAGGGTAGCCGGGCGTAACCCCCCGAAATATCTGGGCGAGGAGGACCATCTTATCCTGGAGGACTGGGTTCGTACCTTTGACAAACTCTTTGACTCCCTCAACTGCCCGTGGGAGCAACGAGTAAATATTGCGGTGTATTACCTACACCAAGAAGCTGACCACTGGTGGGCCGCCAATGGACCAACACTTCTCGAGCAACTGGACTTTTGCTGGGAGGACTTCAAAGTAGCACTACGTGACCGTTTCTACCCCGATCACGTGAAAGAGGCAAATTACGACGAATTCGTCAATTTCAAGCAAGGTGACCTGACTGTTCAAGAGTACCACACGAAGTTCGTCCAATTGGCTCGTTTCGCCAAAGACCTGGTGTCAACCGAGGGCAGTATGACACGCAGATTTGTTAACGGGCTTAACTACGGTGCCCAAAAGTTTGTGACTGTAGCAGAGCCACGAAATCTGAACGAAGCATATAGGAAGGCTGGTAAGTACTACATGGTACACCAGAAGGAGAGGGAGGCACATAAGAGGGATCGAAAGAACGCTGAGGTGGAGCAGCAGCACAAGAAGGCCAGAACTGACCACCCTGAACCCCGACAAAACAATCAAGGCGGGAGAATATTCCAAGGCCAGGGTCAGGGGAGAAACCAGCCTAACCAGACACGGTATTACAAGTGCAAACTCTGCCCGAACAACCACCCTGGAGCAGATTGTGCAGGTAATCCGGTGAAGTGCTACAACTGCAACCTCATGGGGCATAGGGCATATGAGTGCCGGAAGGAGAAGAGGCCCCAAACCCAGGGCCAAAACCAAGGGATGTACAATCAGGGGAATGGCCAAGCCGGGGGTGGGGGTAATCACGTTAACAGTAACCGTGGTAACCCCGACACCCGTCCAACGGAAGGCAACCGTAACCAGGGCCAGCAAGGGCAGAACAATAACCAAGGCCGAATCTATGTCATGAACCAAGCTCAGGCAAATGCCAACGACGTGGTGTCAGGTACATTCCTTGTAAATTCCACACCTGTTCATGTACTATTTGATTCGGGTGCATCTCACAGTTTTATATCCTCAAAACTTGTGGAAAAGTTAAAGTTAGAACCTACCGCTACACTCAATCTTAATGTAAAAACAGCATCTAATAAAGTTGTAGCTTGCGGGAGTGTTTTCTCCAATGTTTCTATAGTCATATCTGATACCGAACTACCCGGAGATCTAATCCAATTTGACTTGGAGGATATTGACGTGGTGTTGGGAATGGACTGGCTAGGAAAATATAAGGCGAGGATTCTTTGTGATGAACAAAAGGTGGTCTTGAGAGGACCCCACAAGAAGCGTGTATCCTACAAAATGGTTACATCTCAGCCGGGCGTGAAGCTGACAACCATGCAACAAGTCAAACGATACGTCCGGAAGGGGTATGAAGTTTACTTATGCATGATCCAAGACTTAACATCGGAAGAGCCGACCATTGACCAAATCCCTGTGGTCAATGAATTTCCGGATGTATTTCCGGAAGAAATTCCAGGGATGCCGCCGGAGAGGGAAGTCGAGTTTTCAATTGATCTGATGCCAGGCACCGCACCCATTTCGAAGGCACCATACCGAATGGCACCAAAAGAAATGCAGGAACTGATGCCAGGCACCGCACCCATTCCTTTCCACCTTAGAGTCAATTTGAGTGAAAAATGATATCATACTGAAAGAAGGAAGCAGAATCTCAAAGTGGTCCAGGAGGAAAAGTTGAAGAGCACAAAATACAGAACAAGACAGACAAAAAACCTCACAGGCGCCCAAATAGGCGCCCAGATTGGCCGCCTACCAGGCCGCCTACGCTATTTTTGGAAAGTCAGCATTTTGGAATTTTGATCGGACCGGAGAAGACCGAAGGCTGCCGACACTAGACGGAAGGCGGCCACCTTCGGTGACCGCCTGCGGCACAAGGCGACAAACCAACCACCGGCTGGTGGGATTTGACAGAAGGCGGCCAGACAGGAACGGCAGGTGGCCGCCTTCTGGACCGCCTGCGGCGGATGACAAGACCGGCGCGTCACGCCCTGTCGGTGACGTGACGGACGGTGGCCGGATCCAGACGGACGGCGGCTGCCTGGTTGGCCGCCTACGGTATTTTTGCTGCTATAAATAGCCCGATTTTTTCTGAACTCAAACACACCTCTTCCAACCCTAATTTAGTTCAAAAAGTTCCAGTTCTTCAGCCATTTCCGAGCTCCAAGCTATTTTTTGGAGAGAGAAACTTCAAATCTCCATATCTTCTTCATTTTAGCTTCAACTTGTAAGTTCTTTATATGTATTTTCATCTTCTCAACGAGTAGAATCTGAATCTGTGCTTTGTTTTCTCGATCTGTTCTTTGAATTTTTCCAGAATATTTATCTAGTATTTCGCATTTTCTTCCATAAATTAAATAAAATAGTTGTTGATGTTGAATTCATTCCAATTAATTATATAGTTGTTCACTAGCCTCAAGGTTGTTATTTATCTGAAGAAAGTTAATTTTCACGAAGTGAAAGTAATTTTTAATTAATTTCGGTAATTAGTTGTTATTATTGCATAAATTAAATTAATTACAAAAAAATAGAAAAAAATAGTATCGGCCCTAATTCCAGTTTATTTCACTGTAATATCACCCCAGTAGTCAATAGAAAATTTAGAACGAATTTAGCCTATTTTTAATTGCCTTTTGTATTTTATAGTTAAAAGTGGGAAATTTATCAATTAATTGTTAAAATTGGATTTTAGGTTTGAAAATTCGTGAAAAAATCCAGAAAGTCATATTGTAGTTCCAGAGAGTTTATTTTGACAATATCTTATTTTTGTTTAATTTTTGCTATTATACATGTTTAATTCCTTGTTAATGTTTATTTATTTACCATATTGTTGAATGCAAAAAAAATGTTTAGTAGCTAAATTTGTTTTGGGCATGAATTGAGTAAAGGAATATGGATTGACTTGTTAGCCGAAAATTAGGGGTTAAATTAATTAATTGATCTAGTTATTCAATTTGATGAATTAGTAATTAATAATTGTTAGCCTAATTTCATTAATTAAATTTTGGAAAATTATTTCTAACTTGTCTATGAGATTAGAAAGTAATTTGAGCCAACTTTATTCAAGCACATTAATAAGTTCTAGAAATAGGATAATTTTAATGAAATGGATTTACATCTTGTCTATGAGAAATAAATTCAATTTGCTTAAATAATGAATTTAATTAGTTAATGAATTTGGCTATTTTTATTAATTAAAATTTTGGAGAATTATTTCTGCCTTGTCTATGAGATTAGAATTTAATTCAAACCAACCATTTTTGAATACATTAATGAAACCTAGAAATAGGATAAATTAATGAAAGTAATTTCTATTCTTGTCTATGAGAAAAGAAATTATTAGTCCAATTTTAGTTTTAAATTCCCCTAATTACTAGGTCCAAGAATATATCCATTTCCAATTACTCAATTCATTGTCCTTACTTGCCTCAATCTTTTCATTAATCTTTAGAATATTTGATCTTAAATCTTTAGTTGAAATTTGCTCCTAGTATAATTGTGCAAATTGACCTAGTCTAGAACACAATCACCTTTTTGTATTGAAAAAGCTTCCAACAATTAGCGATAGTCCGTGACTAAGACTAAATTAAGAAAACTCCTCCGCCATTCCTCAAGAGACACGATACTCGGGGAAAAACCGAATTTACTACAACGCCGCGTAAGCGGTTATCAAATGGCGCCGTTGCCGGGGAATGACACGGTAATTTCTTAATCTAGTTCTAGCATAGGTGAATTCTAGTTAGGGAAACTTTTTCGCACTTGCAACATTTGTATAAAGATTTCAGGATAAATGAATGCACACCCGCTCTAAAGGAGTGGAAGGGCTACTTGAACTTAATCCTGAACCTGAACGAACTTTGTGGAAAAATCTTTTGATCCACAAGAAACCAATCATGACGGACCAAAAGACGGTGTTGCAAAACCTCACGCTAAGCTTCATCGAGGATGATAGCTTAAGCGCACCAACAATAGAGGCGGCCAACTTCGAGATAAAACCCGCCATTATCAACATGATGTCTAATCAGCAATTTGGCGGGTCCAAACAAGACGATCCCAGGACCCACATGTTGTGGTTCACCAGAGCGTGCCAAATATTCCGCTTCAACGGAGTGACTCCCGACGCCGTAAAATTGACCCTATTTCCTTTCTCACTTCGAGATAGGGCATCTCTGTGGTTGGATAGCTTTCCAACAGGACATTTCACGATATGGGCAGCACTACACCAGGCGTTCATGCAAGAGTACTTTCCTCCGTCGGCGGTTGCTAAAATCAAAACAACAATCCAAAATTTTAGGCAATTCCCGACGGAATCATTAAATGAAGCATGGGAGTGCTTCAAGGATATGAGAAACAAGTGTCCACTCACACTGATGGACCCTAGCAGCTTGATGTTCCATTTCTATAATGGGCTTCAAGTTGGAAGCGAAAAAGAGCTTGATTTCTCTTCGCAGGTGGGGTCGTTCCTTGAGATGGAACCCGACGCCAATGAAGCTCTGGTGGAGAAGGTCACTTCCAACGCAAGATACTGGTACGATGAAAGAACTCAAACTCTGCCCCACACTCATCACAATTTAATGTTTATTCACCTGTTTCTAATTCTACCGAACTTGTACTCTCATGTGAGATATGTTTTGGTCCGCATTTGACCAATTCATGTCAATTTGTTGATGATTGTAATGTAAGTAACAACAGGGAGGTAAACATGCTGGAATATGGCCGAACGAAACAAGAAGGGCACTAGTAAAAAAATGGCTTATAGTGACATTTAATTAGTGTCACTAAACGATTTAGTGACACTTTGAAAGTGTCACAGAAAAGTGGGGCTAGTGACGCTAAATTTTGTGTCACCGTTAACAAGTCACTTTGGTGTCACAAAATTATGACATATAAACATCATAGAGATCTGTGATATATACGTAACAAGGATTTTTGTGATACCTTGGCATCATACTTTTTAGTGATATACCGACATCAACAAATATAATGATACTAATACACATTCAAATTTTGTGATGGTTTGGTATCACTAGCCCCACTTTTCTGTGACACTTTCAGAGTGTCATTAAATCATTTAGCGACACTAATTGTAAGTGTCATTATATCTTGCGTTCATGACAGATTAGTTTCATTACTTTATATGTTTGCATTCAAGCAATATAGTAATACACCAATTAACCAACTTTAAATACACACACACTAATAAACATTACAATATAATACTAGTGTTTGGATTTCATCATTGTTAATTATTCATGTTAGGTTACATCTTCCCCAACAACATAGGCGCAGCCGCGCAGGCTTTCAGTTTCAAGCAAAAATGACGCCACAATTAACCAGGGCATTGCATAACGTACAGTTTTACATTCCACAAAACAAGAACCTACAAAAGTATACCAAACATAAAGTTCTCAATGAATTTCACTCCAAAAGTGTTTCTTGCATTTTCCTTCACTCCAAAAGTACACGAACTCCAGACCATCATTCAATCAACCGCATCTGTAAACAAGAAGTACAAGTATAAGAAATTAATCCAAGTTCTGTAAAATGTTAACACAATGAACAAAATAAGTACAATATGGAAAAAAAATTCTTACTTTAGGATCAATTTTGTTGCATATGCTGCCCACTCCTCACACACTTGCATGATGTCTTGTTCAGAATAGTCCTTTATTGTTGAGAACTAAGAGTATAAAAATACAATGAGTACAAACATATACAAACTTCAATTAATGTTATCCCACAAAAATATATACAAACAATCCACATTTAACTCACATTCTTTTTCAAGACATTAACCTCACACACAATGTCACTCATGTACTTCATCAAGAAGTATCCACATTCCATAGAACCAGTTTGCTTAGGGCACTAGATAAGTGTCAAGTACAGATTAGTATCATTATACAACATCATGTAAACACGCCAAATACAATTTAGGGCAATGAGGAACATACCATGACTGTAACCCAATTCAGAGATACCTCTTCTTTGAAACCGAAGCATGATGAATTTTCACTCCCTTGATATTCAAATACAAGTTAGATATGAGTACATTATTTTTTCATTGACTTATAAAAGTGTCTATTTTTCAACACAATGCTCTGACTGAAACAATTACAAAAAAAGGCATAGCTACATACATGCATTGTGATTAAGTACCACAATGTATGACACTCAAAGATAATTTAACTGGTTCACAATTAGTGACAGATCTTCTAATGGATTCTCTCCAATTGAGTCCAAATAGTACATTGTCCATGCCACAACATCGATGGCTACCAACACCCAATGATTGCTACACATTATATTATCTATTTAATCAATTGCTATAAAAAATTCCAGGTTGAAATTAAAGGATACGAATCAGTAGCAAAAAAAGATTTAGTGTAATACTTCTAACCATCGTAATTACCATGTATTATAAGGGATCAGTGTGATTTGTCCAGGCAAACCAACACCCAAAAGATCTGCTATATAGCGAGACCTCCTTGTAATGGACTCATATGAGGGTTTCAATGGTACCGGTATTGCAGCAGACGTGCCAAATTGGACTGCTATATAGCGAGACCTCCTTGTAATGAACAATTTTTTCATATTTCTGAATTTATGATCATGAGACAAAAAACGACGGTGAGCCATGTAAGCACACTTCTTACTGCATTTTAGCCAGGTTGAGGAGGTTGAAGGACCACAAACTGGACATGCGTAATACCCCTTTCCAGTACACCCACTCAAGTTGGCATATGCCGGGAAATCGCTAATTGTCCACACCAATACAACCCTTAAGTTGAAGGTTTCATTTCTAAACCCATCATAAACATCTACTCCATCATTCCAGAGGGTTTTTAGGTCATCAATCAAGGGCTTTAGATACACATCTATATCACTGCCCGGCTGTTTAGGCCCAGATATTAATAGAGACAACATCATGAATTTTCTCTTCATAGTCAACCGAGGAAGATTATAAACTACTAACTGAACGGGCCAACAACTATATCTAGAGCTAAGGGAACTGTGCGGATTAACTCCGTCACTTGAAAGAGCTAATCTTAGATTCCTAGACTCTACACCGAAATCAGGCCATGTGTTATCAATATGATGCCAAGCAGGAGAGTCCGCTGGATGCCGCAATTTGCCATCTTTGATGCGTTTGTTTGCGTGTCATGTCATGTATTCAGCGGTTTTCGGTGACTGAAACATACGTTTAAACCGAGGAATGGGAGGAAAATACCAAAGAACTTTCTCTGGAACTTTATTGATAGCTGTTATAGCTCCGTTTTTTTCCTTCCACCTAGACTCTCCACATGTTGGGCACTTGTCAAGATCAGCGTGCTCTTTATGGAAAAGAATGTAGTCATTTCGACAAGCATGCATTTTCTGGTAGCCTAGCCCTAACACTTTCAGTATTTTCTTAGCTTCGTACATAGATTTCGGAATGGTGTTTTCTGCGGGTAACAAGTTTGAAATAGCTTCTAACAAAGCTGTGAATCCTTGATCAGACCACCCATATTTCCCCTTTATATTATACAACAACATTAACCCTGATAACCTCGAATAACTTGAACCTGAGTACAATGGCTTTTCGGCATCTTCAACTACATCCCTAAAATTCTTTGGGTGACTACCAAATTGTTCAAAAACGTTACCTAACATGTCCTCAAGTTGGCTTTGATCATGAAGTGCTGACTGTGAGTGAAAAGAAAATGATTTTTTTTCAACCTCCCCGTGCCAATTCCAAACAAGGTACGTATTCAGAAACCCATATTTAAGCAAATGGACTTTAACTTTTTCAGGACTGTGAAAGTCCATGTTGCAACACGTGTTACAGGGACATCTAAGTTGTTGGTCCTGGTTATACTGGATACAGTCTAGAGGGGGGGTGGGTGAATAGACTGTATTGGTTTTTAGCTTTTTAAACTAAGTACCAGATTTACAGAATAGCCTGTTCTGTTGAAAGAACAGACTGGCAGCGGATGGGGTTCTGGTAGGGAGTTCTGTTAGCCTCAGAGAAGCAATAGGCAGAAGGCCTTCTGTTAACTCGTAGAACAAGTTCTGCTGAACACAGATACCAAGTCCAAGGAGTTATACAGTTCTAACTAAGTGCAAGAATTAAAAGCAGTAAGTAAACGACACCAGGGATTTTTATAGTGGTTCAAGGAACAACTCGTTCCTCTAATCCACTGTTCCACTAAGCTGTAAAAACTGCCGTTTACAAAGCCTTAGTCCTAGTACTTAAGAAGCACTCCACGTCTTCTTCAAGCCTAGATGTGTCCTGGGATGCACTGCCTGGCTTCCTTTAACACTGGTCCTTTCACTGAGTTTCCTTGAAGTATCACCACTTCACTACTCCAGTTATTTGGACGTCCTTCTTGTAGCAAGAAGAGTTTCTGTTGAAACTGAGGTTCCTCCAACTAGCTTCGTTACAAAAGATTTGTATGTTATGAGCTTGAAGAGTTGAAGAACACTTGGAACTTTGCTTGAGTTGGAAAGAGTAATTTTCCAACTTCTGCCTTCTCTTGTAGAAGATAATGAGTTTGAATCTCAAGGAGGCTTTTGCTTTTCAGAGTTTGGATATCTTGCTTGTGGTTAGCAAAAGTTGCAATGTAATCTTGGCAAAGTTATCCGGTTGTTCTTCGTAGTGTATCTTTTATACTGAGGTTGTCTTCCCGTTGGAGGAGTAGGAGGACAACTGCATTTAATGCGCGAGCAGTTGACTTGACTAGTAGGACCCGGTAAAGTTGGCGGGTTACTATTTCGGGATAAAGTAAACCTGACATTGCGGCCAATCATCTGCAATTACTCCACGGAGCATTAGGAGCATTAAATGAGCATTTAATGCGAGCACTGTAGCTTTTCCGTTTCATACTCCTAGCCGTTGAAGGAATCTTTAAGTTGACTTCCCGGCTTTGTGGATTTCTTCCAAGTGTCAGACCTTCTGGTGTTATTGACAGAGAACTGAATCAGAGAAGATCATGAGCACTTCTGTTGTTGGTAGCTTACAGAGAACCAGGAGGGTTTCTGTCACGCTAATGGGTAACAGAGACCCTGACGTATTCTGTTCCTAGACAGAGAACCAAGATCTTCTGTCTGGAGGACTTCTGGTAGAGAGGCCTTCTGGTAGTCGAATATGCTAAGAACTTTACAAGGGAAAATTCTAATACATAATTTCTAAAGGGGTACTCTACAGTCCTAATTAAAATAGCATCATCAAAATCTAAATACAATTATTCCTTACATAAGTGATCTGCGATTTTCGGAGTTAAGCATAGCAAAGTTTATGAAATCATTGACTCCATCTGTGTATTCTTCAGACAACCTATTGTCATTCTTTATCCATGATTTCTCCATTTGAATGTTACCTGATAATTGAGTTACAAAAAAAATAAAATACATCCTACATAGTGCTTCTTTGTTTTTTTATATATTACTACTAATTTATAGAACACAGATATTATTCAAGTTAGTCTTGAGTGTTTTTTTTTGGCTATTTCAAGACCACATATGACTGTACTTCTAGGATTGAGCCTC